CCGAGCACTGAGCACGAGCGAGAGCCCGGCCATTCGCACACGGCCGACCGCTGCACAGCACCGAGTCGACGCACTCGAGGTTATTCCTGTTTTACTCATCATACATTGATCTTTACACACCTTAATTAGCTTTGCATTACTAAAACATTAGAGTGAAATATTGCAGGCCCAGCTGGAACAAGAAATGAGGCAATGTTAGGAGCTGGCGGCCCAGCTGGACGCCGAGCGGACCGAGCGGCAGGCCTAGGCGCAGAGGCTGACAGACATTACGGAGTTCCTACAAGGGCTTGGACAACGTGTGGGCTTCTCTCTACCAGCTAGGCTGTTGGTTCCACCTCTGCCTTTGCGTCCTACAACTGCAGCTACTCCTGTGAGTATGAAAGTTTTTTACTTTTGTTTGTGCTTTGCTTGTATGGCCTCTACCTTCCTAGATTAGCTATCTAAATAATCTTATCTTACATGCAATCTTTACTCCTTTGTACAGTCTCCATCTGACGGTGGTTCGAATAATCCACCTCATGCACCTCCGAATGATGCAGCTGGGCCTTCACCACAGTCGTAGTGGCCGAGATGAGTGCACGTTATATTTTTTTCATTTGTTATTCACTTGGTGATGGACTTGTGATATACTTGTGATGCACTTATGGACTTTGATGGACTTGTGGATTTATTTGGATGGACTTGAGCACTTATTATTATATATGTGATATATATTGTGATGGATGTGATATGTGGGGATGGATGTGTGGATGGATGAGATATATATGTGATGGATGAGATATATATGTGATGGATGAGATATATGATTGTATGAATTTATTTGTCATGATGGAATGTAAAAAAAAAATTAAAAATGACTGTTTTGGGTCACTTTGCCGTGTGCCATGGTCACAGCACTTTCCAGCTTTGTCGAGTGCCATGACCATGGCACTCGGCAAAGAATTTTTTAAAAAAATTCCAACTTTGCCGAGTGCCGGCCAGAGGACACTCAGCAAAGAATTTTTTTAAAAAAAATTCAAACTTTGCTGAGTGCCGGCAAGAGGGCACTCGGCAAAGAATTTTAAAAAAAAATCAAACTTTGCCGAGTGCCGGCCAGAGGGCACTCGGCAAAGAATTAAAAAAAATTAAACTTTGCCTGGAAAAACGGGCTGACGGAAAACCATTTTCTAGCTGGCACTCGGCAAAGAATTTAAAAAAAAATTCCAACTTTGCCGAGTGCCGGCCAGAGGACACTCGGCAAAGATTTTTTTTTAAAAAAAATTCAAACTTTGCCGAGTGTCGGCCAGAGGGCACTCGGCAAAGAATAAAAAAAATTCAAACTTTGCCGAGTGCCGGCCCCAGAGGGCACTCGGCAAAGAATTTTTTTAAAAAAAAAAATCAAACTTTGCCAAGTGTCGGCCAGAGAGCACTCGGCAAAGATTTTTTTTAAAAAAAAATTCAAACTTTGCCAAGTGCCGGCCAGGCAAAGAATAAAAAAAATTCAAACTTTGTCGAGTGCCGGCCCCAGAGGGCACTCGGCAAAGAATTTTTTTTTAAAAAAAATTCAAACTTTGCCGAGTGCCGAAAAGAGGGCACTCGGCAAAGAATTAAAAAAAATTAACTTTGCCGAGTGCCAGCCAATGGGCACTCGGCAAATAATTTCTTTTAAAAAAAAAATCTTTGCCGAGTGCCTGCAGGGTTGACACTCGGCAAAGAAATTTTTTAAAAAAAATAAAAAAATCTTTGCCGAGTGCCTACAGGGTTGGCACTCGGCAAAGCCATCATCAACGGGGCCGGCGCCGTGACGGTCGCTTTTCTTTGCCGAGTGCCCGATAAAAGACATTCGACAAAGAGGGCTTTGCCGATCAATTTTTTGCCATGTGTTCTTTGCCGAGTGCCGCACTCGGCAAAGGCTTTGCCGAGTGCAATTTGGCCTTTGCCGAGTGCCTCAGGCACTCGGCAAAGAACCTGAATCCAGTAGTGAATAGCAAGTCCAAAATGAAAAAAATAACCACTGACGTTTCAACTCCAAAGAAAAATAAGCAGGTGGTAAAAGCAGTTGGTGATAGTGGCACCAACAACTGCAGCACCAGCAAAAACAGAACAGACAGCAACACGAACTGCAAAAGAAAATTTGAAGCCTTGACTAAAGTTGCTACCTGAGCATGTGGATGGTCAGAGCCCCACAAAATACTTACAAGCCAAGTGAGTCTATCGATCTTATAGTACTTCGCTACTTCGATTTTACGGATCCATTGTTGTTTCTCCTTATCATTACTAGTACAATGCCCGTGCTAACGCTACGGCAACATTCAAACATGCAAATGAAAACAACCGAAAGACACAGTTTGCTACATAAGACTGGCATTTACAACTTAGCAAGTTACCACTCACCACTCAACATCCACGGTGCAAATAAACATATGATCGAAAATTCCTTTATAGTGAAAATTGACTTAAATTTCTTCAAAGACCCCCCAAAATAAAAGATCATGCCTTGCTGCAGACAAAAATTGTTTCACAAACTGGTAATCTTCAAAATTTGATATCCAACATAATCTAAGTAGGCCACAGATTTGTATATCCCAATGAAAATTTCTAGAACACACTGAAATGTTGGCAATCCATTCTTTTGTGTGCGTCCTTATGGGCCGCTTCTTACATAGTGAATAGCACCAGTTGAAGGCAAAAATTCATGGCCACTCAACAAGCATGTGCCCTCGTAAAATCAATAAAATCAGTGTGTGCTTACTGCTGAATTGAGTCAGTGTGGGGGCGCTTGCCGACATCGTCGCTGTACACTGCCGCCACTGCCTCCAGATCCAGCCACAGCCCTTCTCCACCTCTGCCAGCTAATTAGTAATATATTAGATAGATGCGAAACCTCCAGAAATCCTTTATAAGTCACAAGTATATATTTTTAGTTTCAAAGTCACAAAGAAGAGCATCACACAAGATGCTCCATCTTTTAAAAGAAAGAAAGAAGCCGATCCACCTTCCAAGTTTTACATATATATAACACAACAGTTTGGCAAACAACAATAAAATCCAAGTCTTACAACTGAGGACACTGACTGGTACATCCCAGTACATCAGAGCTTGCCTATCTCATGCCATTCGAATCATTGAACTTTTACACACAGCTAACCTAATCTTTTCATATACAACTTTGCATAAATCTATACCGACAAATTACTCAAATGGAAAATATCACAATTGTTATTTTACCTGTCCCTTATAGAATGTTTTCCAAGTCTGAAACATGGGAACAATCAGACTGCCGCGATAGTAAAAACCATCTATGTTCTATGGGCAGCCAGATTTTTGCACCATACTTGTACTCTGATCCAAACATAAAATAAACAAAACAGAAATGTCACAAGTGAGTTCCGGATAAATTCTTCATGTCTGGCTCTCCTAAAAGCATAACCATACAAGCAATACAATTACAAAATGAGATAGTCATTTGACTTGATTCCTACGTGTCCAGGCTGCCAAACTAAACTCGTACACAAAACACGCACGTCTTGCCCATTTGTCCCACAGATTGCCTAAAATTAATAGGTTAGTTCATCTCTAGGACACTTTGTCTCACAGATTGATTGATTCTGAATTATTGGATCGAATCATCAGAGACAAATAACACATGAACTGATGGATTTCTGATGGAAAAAACAAATCTCACCAAGGGACGATAGTACCTTCCTGCAATGCATGGTGGCATAAACTGAACCAGAGCCAAGATTCTCCTTTGGAACATTGACAAACAGAACAGATTCCATATGTCCTAATAACTGAATGGCAGCTAACTTCATCTATCCCAAGTATCGATATCGTATAATCCATCTGACAAGTTTAGCTCCATTAATAAATCTCAAGAACTCCAAAAGATTCCATAAAATTTAATTGTATATAAAGAATCCACAAAGAAGTATTAACTAAATTTGGGCTTAATAATTAAAATCAAGACGACCCCACATCAAAATGGGTGAAACCCACTCGGTACTCAATTCCTCTAATCATCTGACCTCAAGCAAAGGTTTGCAGCCAAATGTATTTTTTGTTATTGCAGTAAGAAATAGTTAAATTAAATTTGACTATGGATAGGGACATTTTCTTGTCATAAAACCATAGCATTCTCTAGCACGCCTACCTACATTGTTGCAATATTAATTCTGGCAGGAACTTTCAATCAAAGCACGTTGAACTCTTCGAACTCCTGTTCATCGTCCTGATCAAACCCATAGTCATACCAATTGTCTTATGTGAGTGCATCGCCCTCGCACTGACGTCTCTGGGCTTGCAGTGGGTTCCCGAGGAACCAGTCGCCATCTGCTCGACGGAGGGAGGCGTTCCCCATGACGGCGGCGGCGTGGACTCCAGCCCGCACGCCATGTCGAGGCCGTAGTGCTCCCACAGCATGCGCCCATCGTGGGCGGAGCCCGATCCGACGAAGGTGACCCTGGGGTCAGCGAGGAACCGGCACAACGCCTCTGGTATGGCGTCGGCGCAGCACGAGGCAGCGGTGCCCGACGCAGAGCTTGCAGTAGCTCGTGTTGGACGCCGGTCGTCTAGGTCTACGAAGCGGCAGCGGCGTCACGGACGGGAGGGCGACGGAGCGTCGCGCGTTCGGGAGGAGAAGCAACAGAGCAGCATAGGCATGGGAGTCTCGTGTTTGGTTTTTGAGTTGTTTCGGAGATTTGGTTCTGGAAATAGGAGGTACCGTGCTTCGAAACGAGGATCGTTGGCCTCTGTGGTGCGGCCGTGCGGGCGGGGAGAGGCCGGCTAATAGGGTGCATTGAAGCCTCTGGATGATCCAAACAATCCTGACCAACAGATCGTGTTGAAGCCTAATAGGAAGACACGTGAGCCATTGATTTTAATGCTGTTGTATTTCTGGGGACATATTTTGGAGTGTACGAAGCAAAAGTCATGACAGTGGGGGATTGAAATTGTGGGTGGACCTATTATAATTTCAATTGGTCCCTTATAGTATAGATGATAAAGTCACTTAATTTCAGGTGTCCAAATGGACAAGAACAGACCAGAGAACAACTCTAAAAGTAGAAATGTGCCCCAAGATATCATTCCGGTAAAGAACTCCGTATGAGCTTGAGAAAAAGATGCATTGAAATCAGGCGTGATGTTTCTAGTTCACTAATAATCAATATTTGCAAGTTTATGTGTAAAACTTCAACTTAAAGATTTCTTTTAAAAAAATACTTTGACTTTTAGTTAATTAATTATCTTTCTGTCACACCCAGTTTTAAAGACAAAACTGAGTACTAACTATATGTGTGCCCAAGAAGTCAAATCACATATATAGCGACAAATTACAATAGTATCAAGAGACAATACTTTATTATATAACAAAATATACTCATATTCAATACTTACATCAGAGTATCACGAAACTGTTGGCAATCTTTAGGCTCCATCCTTCACAGGGACGGCTGACTGGGGGTAATATATGCCTAGCACTTCTATCAATCTTCTAGGAACTCCTCCGTGATTCCATCAATCTTCGGAGCAACTTTTCTAGAGTCTATGGTGTGGGGAAATAGCAAGGGTGAGCACATGTCGTACTCAACAAATATAACATGGGGTTAATGGGCTCAAAAGGATGACACTGGTTTATTGAGGTTAGCTTTTAGTTAGTCGTAATTTTAAGTAATTGACTAGCATCAAATTTATCATAAGCCCACAAAAACACATGATCAGATAAACATGAATAATGAATAGCGTAAACAATTAACCATTAATGATCATCAATTCCGTAAGAGTTCCAAGGCCGCTCGTGACCATGAGCACGGCTGTTATAACAGTTTTACACTCTGCAGAGGTTGTACATCTTTACCCATGAGCCGTGATTTACCCTTTCGTCTGAGGGGACTAGCCTCTTGACCCACTACCAAGGAAGGTCGGCAGGGTTCACTATGAAGTCTTTTAAAGATACGTCTAACAAGTTAGGGCCGCAAGGTTTCTGTGCCCTGCGAATGTAGAGCCCCCTTTCGAAAGGCACACTCACGTAGAAGTACTCTTAGGAACAGAGGTCGCACTACACCCAACCCAAAACACACCCCTCTTGCACCATAAAGGTAACCACTAACAACCTGGAAAAGCTCCTCATACTTGTCTAAAGCCAGAGCCATATAGCACTCATGGATGTACTGTAAGTCCCAGTGACCACTTACAGATAAGTCCTTAGGGAGAGGAATCTAGAGCATCACAAAAACTATGCTCTAGCCCCATTTTTCCTTGTTGCTAAAAAGCATCTTTTAGTGTTTATTGTATATTCCATTAGTCAAGTTACAAGATCATGGTTTCAGTTGAGCACTAGCATCATACTACCCAATGCAATACCCCTTAGGTGATAAGGAATCCAAGATATCAAATAGCTAGGAAAATTACTACGGTTGCCAAGGTAGACACATACATATGATTAAGTTATTAAAGTGAATAGGACAATAAGGATGATCCCATGCTATAATTGCCTTAAACACTTGCTCAACTCTCACACCATCAGCTTTCGGTCATCACCTTCTGATCTTCAGCGCCCACAAACGGTTCTTGTTTACTCATAGCAAGCACCACACATAGGCAATCAAACAAGCAACAAATAAAAGCAACTAAGAATAATAGAGCAAGAGCTTTAAAACAACGTGCTAAGAGAGAACTCATTGCTACAATAGATAGAACGCAAGAAATATCGATAACGAAACTATCGTTAAAAAGGAACGACTATCAAGAGTTTTATATTATAAAAGAAGCAACTACGGGTTTGATTTATTTTAATTAATAAAAAATATATGAATAGTATTAATTCCGATTAATCAAAACATATTTACTTTTCAAAAGTCATGCTATAGCTAATCATGTTTTAGTCATCATATAATTTAATCAGATTAAACTTTAACATTTACAAAACAAAGGTGCATGTGAGAGCATATAAACAAGTTTTATATGACCTTGTTTATCCTAAGCAAATTATAATTTAGAAACACATTTATGTTAGCAATTAATCATGTTAACAGTTATATATAAAATACATAAGTATACAACCTATATTGATTTTAATTATAAAACTAGATACAAGTATATTAATCAATTTAATATTTAACTATATATAGAAAAACATGTGACATGAAAAACATTAATACTACTGTGTAGAGCACGTCGGCATGACTCTAACGCAACTTGAACAAACCGAATCGAAATTAAAACGAAGGAAAAACGGAGATATTACGAACCAATGGCAGTTTCGTAATTATGTCGTCTTCATCCTTGGCTGTTGCAGATCATGACGTCCATGGCCTTTGGAACCTGCTACCGTTCTCGTAGGGGATGTCGGCCGGGGAAGCGAAGGCAGGGCTGAGCTGAGCACGAGCCTGAGACTTGGAGGCCTCGACTCCCACCTGCCCACGTGCGTCATCCGCGACGGGTGGCGCCCGCTGGTGGCCAAAGGGCTCCTGAAATAGCCATGAACACACAGTACAAGAGCCGCACCGCAGCCGGGCTGAGGCAGGGCCAAAGCGGCAGCTGCAGCAGCGCACGCGCGATCGCCCAGCAGGCTACGGCGGCGCCGGAGAGCCGAGCAGCGGCCGGAATCGAAGGAGAACAAGAAGCCAACCATGGTGAAGTTCACCGGAAGCAAAGAAACAAAGGAGAAAAGGTCAAACGCTGATGTATTCACGCAACCAAGTATACCATGACGTGGAGGACAAAGAGGGATACCTCATGGTGGTGTTGACGTCGGAACGCAACGGTTAGGCCGGAAAAGCTCGCCGAAGAGTCCGACGCTGACATGACAGAAAGACAGAAAATTCTAATTTACTATACAAGGGATTTCCCAAACTAGGAGCTTCCCTTACGTTAGTTTTGGTGTGTTTTACCCAAATGGTTGATACATATATATATATATAAAGATAAAAACTCCCCACATCCACGTCAACTAGCGATATCGTACTAATTGACGTTGCACCATCCACTTACACTAATGGGCCTAAATAAACATTAAAGCCCATTAGTAAATAAAGACACGGGCCTTTAGGATTTATTAGAATTATTGCACATGGGCTTTGAGGGTTGGAAAATAAAGAGAGATTTTATTATTTTCAGAATTAATTAATTTCATGGATAAAATAATTCTATAAAAGTCTGGAATTATTATTTAAGCCGTGAAAATACTCTGAAAGCTCCGAAAATTCGGGGAGAGGCATTATGGAATATGAGGAACCAAAATAAAGTATTTGAAACTCATGATAAGATAATTTGGAGCATCTAAAAATTAAATTATGCTCACAGACAAGTGGACACAAGTTCTAGAAAAAGCCAGAAAAATTCTCGAGAAGTTTGTAGAGATTAATTGACGGACAAGGAGCTGAAAGGAGCAATTTGGGTTACAAAGAAAAAAATTTAGGAAGCTCCCAATGAAAACTTGAGCCGAGAAATAAGAAATTTTGATGGTAGAAAAAGATAAAGGCATGAGAAGGAAGATCGACCTACTAAACATATTTTAAAGACTTTGCTCACTCTCAACACATAAAGAAACATCAAGCAAACATCACATCAAGCAATATCCGGTCAAATTAATTCAGAAAAGTTTGAAGATTCATATTTTTCCTATAACTAATTGATGCTAACTTAAACTAAACTTGAAAAAATTTATCCAAATATCAAAACATTTATTTTAATTTGTGTTTTCTATGCACAACCGAAAATCAGAAATTTTAGGGTGTGACACTTTCAGACACCAGATGTTGATCATGTAATTAGCGACCATGCCTTGAAAAGCCGAAAGGAGAAACTAACTGAAAAGTCTGGTAAGGACAATCCTATCCCAGAAAAAAGGGAATTTCTTTTCCCTATTATTGATTACTCCATATTGAAGCTCCAAAATCTTAATATGTATACTTCAATTTGCATTTCAGGTGGCATCACAGGTAACATGAATGTTCAGAGGTATACAACACTGCAATTACTTCAGAAGATGCGAGATGATACAGTATGTTACATATTGCAATTCATTTCTGAAGTTACAGTGGTGCTTGTTGATCATAATTCTTCTCTTCGTTGATAACCTAATGTGTGCTCATCTTAGTCTATCTATGTTTCAGCTCCATGAGCATTTTGTGCTTGGAGATCGAAGTGCTGAGTACGAAATGGACATTAAAACAATCTTGACAGGTAATTTACCTCTTTCACAACTAAATCTAGATAAAATGGACATTAACAGTGTGAAATCAAATGATCTTGTTGCAAACAACTTGTCTTTCCATTCTACAATGTTACTAAACATAGCACGAGGCCCTTGTACTCTTAGGCTTCGATTTGTATATGTGAACCTTAGTCCCGAATGATGGAGTTGGGCGTCACCATCCCATCCAAACAAGGCTGCCGAATAGAAGTGCATGAACATTATTTACCCTTCCAAGGACAACTAGCAAGATAACTTCAATTATTCCCGCAGAATAATTGTAGACCTATATATATATCAACATATCTTTTCAACTGTGTGATTGTTGCTTATCAACCTCAATCTTTTACCTTCAAGTTGTATTAAACCAAAGGCGTATCATTTTCAAACCATGTGCGTAAAAGCAGAGATGGCACCTAAAGTAACATCAATCTCAAGAAATATGAGAACAGTTGGAAGATAATGGAAGTTGGCAATCCAATTAGCTCGGAGAAGGATGCCAACCCATGAACATAAAGAGGAAGAAACTGAAAGAAGCCATACTTCTACGCAACAAATGCCGTGCAAGAAACATCATCTGATGTAAATTATTATCATGATTGCCTCTACAATGCTCTGTCGACGAGAGTCATTGCAGCAACTAGATGACATATCCCGTGAGAGCAACTGGATTCTTCCAATATACAAAGTACTTCCTTCAAATCACTACGGATACGGGAACTTTGCCAAGTGCCGTGGGCACTCGGCGAAACCCCAAAACACTTGGCAAAGGGTTTGCCGAATGTTACACTCGGCAAACCCTTTTACTAACAAACGCTAGTTTGCCGAGTGTTTTTGTCGTGCACTCGACAAAGACGCTTGCGAGTGCCCAAAAACACTCGGCAAAACATTTTCGACAAAAATATAAAAAACAATTGCCACCACCGGCCGCCGCCCACCACGGCTGCCACCGGCCGCCGCCTCCTCCAGTGCCCAGAAACCGCCACCACGTCGCCGCTAGCACACCCACGCACCACCACCACCACCACCACCACCACGCCAGCACCACGAAGCCCGCCGCCACGCCACATGCCGCCCGCCACCTCGCCCGCGGATCTGACCACCACGGTCGCAGATCCGCCTGGAGAAGCCACTGGAGGTGCTCCTCGGCTAGATCCGTCGCCGCTGGAGGTGGTCCTCGGCTAGATCCGTTGCCGAGCTCCAGGGAGAGGGATGATCCACCGCCGCTGGAGGTGCTCCTTGGCTAGATCCGCCGCAGAGCTGGAGGGAGAGGGAGGATCCACCGCCAGGGTATGCCGCCGCCCGCACCCGTAAGAGGGAGGTCGCGTCGCCCCACACGATGCCGCCACGGGTGGGCCACCACACTGAGGATTCACCGGGGCCTGGCCTGGATCCACGCCGCCCCGCCATGGATCCACCCGGCCTCAGCATGGATCTTCTCCGCCGAGCGCTGTGAGGATCACTCCGCCATGATCCGCGCCGGAGGGAGGAGAGAGGACGCCGCTACGGAGGGAGGACGGGGCCATGAAGAAGGGAGGAGAGGGCGTGCAAGAGGGAGGGAGGAGACGGCTAGAGGGAGGGAGGGAGGGAGAAGAGGGCCGGAGGGAGGGAGGAGAGCGCCGGAGGGAGTGAGGGAGGAGATGGCGTTGTCGGGAGGAGAGGTGGCGCTGCGGAAGGGAGGAGAGAGAAGGGGTGGGGACGGGAGGCGTGGGGGTGCTGGGGATGCGATTAAGTAAGGAATTGTTTTTGTTTGCCGAGTGTTCCAGATGGGGCACTCGGCAAAGTTTTTTTTTCCATTTTTTTTCTCCTTTTTATTTGCCGAGTGTTCTAGATCTGAGCACTCGTCAAAAAAAAATTCTTCTTTTTCTTTTCCAGAAAAAGATTTTAATTCTTTGCCAAGTGTTTTTTAACACTTGGCAAACCACCTCTTTGCCGAGTGTTTTTTTACACTCGGCAAAACGCCCTATTTGCCGAGTGTTTTTGTCGCGGCACTCGGTAAAGAACTTGTTCGCCGAGTGTCCGAGGGAATACACTCGGCAAACATAAAAACACTCAGCAAATTTGACGATTCCGGTAGTGAGTTACCAGTGGTATGTGGTTGACAATCACTATAACACCCTAAAATTTGCTACTTTAGAAATGTAGTAAAATCGATTTAATTATGAATTTTTATGCTCAAGAAATATAGGAAACATAATATTTTTCATTATATTAAAATTCATCATCAGGAGTAGAAACATGGATGTGCATGCATGCTGGTGCATTTGGTCTATTGCAATGAGTGGTTGAATCCAAAATTCAAAATAAATTCAAAATGCTTTCGTAAATTAATTTGAAAATGGCTTTGAAATAAAAGAAAAGAAAATTTCAAAATAAAAGAATTTAAAAAGTTGTAAATTTTTTCTGGAAAACTTACTAAAATTGCTCATTTTTATTTGAGTTGAAAAGTATATTTGAAACCCTTTTTGAATTTGATTTGGTTCATCATTGAATTTTGTTTTGAAAACAAAATAGAAAAGGATTTGAAAAATGGAAAATCCTTCCCTCACTCAATCTAGCCCGCGGCCTACTCTCTCTTTCCTTTTTGGCCCAAAAGGCCTAGTCCTCCACTCTCCCTCTTCCTGCGCCTCTACTCATGGGCCGGGCCAGTAGGCTGCGTCGCCCATGCCTCCTCTCTCCCGCGTCGGGAGTCACTGCCACCCTAGGCCCTCATGTCAGTGCTCTCTTCTACCTCACATCACCGACCCGGAGTCTGCACCGCCACCGGATTCCGCCGCCACGACGATTCCTCGCCTTGGCGTGCGCCCCAAGCATTTTCCCCTCATAAAAGCCGAGCGTTCGTGCGCGCCATCCCCATGCCAAACCCTAGCTCGCGTTGCCTCACGTCTAGAGCTGCAGTGTCGCCATGGAACCCTAGCCGCCGTGCTCGTCGATGCCCCGCCGTGCTGCCCGATGTCGTAGCCTCACCATCGACCGCAAGAAAGTCCCGCGGTGAGTTCACCGTGCTCCCCTCGTTCTCCCGGTGTTTTTCTTGTTTCGAACCGTGGCTCGTAGGCCATTTTCTGTGTTCTCCGACGAGCTCCGCGTCGTCAGCCATGGAGGCCACTGTGCCGGAGAGACTGTGCCGGTCGAAGGAATCCTCCCAACCCTCGGTAGCCGCCCGATCTGGGTGGAACGATCAGGTTTACAACATACCCCTTCGCACTTTAACCGGTCCACCGCAACAGTAGTAGACTAGGTCCACTAGCACAGTTTGCTCTCGGGTCCATAGCTGGTTCACAGCCTCCATCCAACCGGTTTACGCCACGTTGCCGCAGATCTGGTCGCCCCTGACCCACCGTTGCACTTATGCTGTTAGCCCCTGCAGTTTCGCGTAATCAACCCGCCGTCCCGAGTAGTTCAAAAGTAATTAAAATTATGCCCCTTGTTTTTTTGTTTTGACCCCTGTGTTTTTCCAAAAACGACGCCCGGTCCACAGGACTATTTTAATTCGGTTTTTAATTATTTTTAATACAAAATTGATTTCAAAATATTTATAAAAATGCCATTGATCTTATTTTATGCGTAGTTTCTTCGTTTTAACTCCGATTTGACCTGTTCAAGTTGCGTTACATTCGTATTTTCATAATCTACGTATTAGTAACATGTAAGACATTGTTTTCAGAAATAAAATTTGATCATTTTGTTCTTAACTTCGAATAGCTATAATTTGATCCCCGTAACTTCGATTAGCGTGATCTTCGCGTCTATATGATCGTAGTGATGCGTAGAATCTTGTTTCAAACTCTTCAACTTCTGTTTCATTGATTGGTGTACTGTTCTAATATAGATGTAATTGTATGCTATGCATGCATGTGTATGGATGTTTGTGTGGTGTTCTACGATTACGTCCAATCGGTGAGATATACGTGGTGATCAAGAAGAAGAAGAAGAAGGACATTGAAGATTAAAGCTTACCGAAGGATCGATGTTTTAATGCAAGTATAGCATATGATCTTCCTTGTTGTCTTATACACCTTTAATCATTTAATTCATACTGCATGTGTCTACCTTGATTACCACTAAGAATTTCCTAGTACTTTGTACCTTGTGCCTTGATACCTTTGGGTTATTGCATTGGGTAGTATGATGCTAGTGTTCAACTACAACCATGATCTTGTAACTTGACTAATGGTATATGCAATAAACACTAAAAGATGCTTTTTAGCAACATGGAACAAGGGGGCTAGAGCATTGGGCTATTTTATGGTGCTATAGATTTCTCTTCCTAAGGACTTATCTGTAAGGGCTACATGGCTCTGGCTTTAGCTCAGTACGAGGACCTTTTCTAGCTTGTTAGAGGTTACCTTAATTGGCATAAGAATGGCTTGCCGAATCAGGTATTGGACAACCTTTGTTCCTTTGTGTATAGGCTGCGTGTCATTGTGCCATCGGGAAGGGGATTCCAACATCTGTTTGCCAAGTGAATCTAATGGGCCTAACTTGTTAGACGAACCTTTGAAAGGCTTGATAGTGAACCTTGCCGACCTTCCTTAGTAGTGGGTTAAGAGGCTAATCACCTCGGGCGAAAGAGTAAATCATGACTCACAGTGAAAGTGTACAACCTCTACAGAGTGTAAAACTGGTATATCAGCCGTGCTCACGGTCACGAGCGGCCTTGGAACATTTACGGAATAGATGAAGAACACGGATGATACTGATGATGAAGATGCACGCTAAAGATTACTGCTTATGCTGTTCATTATTCATGTTTACCTGATCATGTGTTTATGTGGCTTGTGGATAAACTTGTTGCCACCCAATTACTAAAATCATGACTCATTAAAAGCTAATCGCAGTTAACCAGTGTCAGTGTTTTGAGCCTCATGAACCCATGTTATATTTGTTGAGTACGACATGTACTTATGCTTGCCTTACTTTTTAAATCTTTGGAAAGATCCTGGATGGGAACCAGATTGCTAATCTGGAGGAGTTAGGCTTGTGATCAACTAGTCAGTTGTCCGTGTAGATTGGAGTCTTCACCCGAAGATCGGAGCTGTCTTTCCGCTGTTTGCTGTCTAAGGTTATATCCTATATACTAAGTACGTTACATATTGAGCATTGTCTTTTGATATTATCCTTATTTGTAGCTATATGCGAGATTTGACTTCCTGGGCTCACATA